CGGGTGCAACTCTGCGGGTTCAGACGGGGCTTGTGGGGCTGGGGGTGCGACTCTCTGCGGGTTCAGACAGGGCTCGTGAGGCCGGGTGCAACTCTCTGCAGGTTCAGACGGGGCTCGTGGGGCTGGGGGTGCGACTCTCTGCGGGTTCAGATGGGGCTCATGAGGCCGGGTGTGCGACTCTCTGCAGGCAGAACCACCTCAGTGTGGATGTCCCCTTTCCAGGTGACCAGCTCTCCCGTGTGTATGGACATGAGCGGGATGTCGGTGCCCACGGAGTTCTTATCCCGGCATAACTCTGATGGGATCATCACGTTCGTGGACCCGAGATGCATCAGCGTGATCGGCTACCAGCCCCAGGTAGGTGGTTCTGAGCTCATGGCAGTTGGCTAGAAATTTAACTTTCCTTAAAACGCACTTCTCTCAATTGTTCGAGATCCAGCAGAATGATGGTGTAGGGGACATGGCATAAAAATCCAGATTCCTGCCCGGAGAGAGTCATGTCCTGCCAAAGCAAACATTGGGTTCAGCTGCCCTGCTTAACAGTAACTCTTAGTTTTGGCCCTAGCCCTCCTGTCTGTCTGCCGGTTGCACACAAGTCAGACTTAAACGCTCGGTGAGAACGGGGCTCTCGGATCAGTTAACTTAGATGAACACCAGACAGGACGCCTCCTTCTTGCAAACTTAAAAAAACAATATTAATGCGATAGACTCTGAAACATCTTGAGAAAAGATGTTCACTTAATTTCGCCTAATCCCTTGTTCTCAAATGTATTTGAAACCTGCGTCTACAGGGGCATATTTTCAGGTCTTTGTTCCAGATCTTTTTTTAAAAAGTCAGCATCATAAGAAACACTAAAAGGCAGGAGAAATTAATCTAGATTAAAATAAACCAAAGAGAGGGGCGCCTGGGTGGCTCTGTTGGTTAAGCATCTGCCTTCGGCTCAGGTCATGATCCCGGGGTCCTGAGATTGAGTCCCACATGGGACTGCTTCTCCCTCTGCCGCTCCCCCTGCTTGTGCTCTCTCTCTCTCTCTGTCAAATAAATAAATAAAATCTTTAAAGAAATAATAATAAGCAAAAGAGAGAAAAACCACAGTATGCAGTGTGAGAGCCTTCGTTGGGTCCTGGAGCTGAAGACAGGTAGCCAGAAAAGACATTTGGGGGATAATCAAGGGAATGTTAATGTGTTTTTTTAGGTGTAATATGGAAATGTTTGGGTTTTGGAGGATGTCATTTTTTTGAGATACACACATCGGAGACAGGTGTCCTACTGTCTGCTACTTCCAGATGATTCAACAAGAGCTCTTTCAATGTGTGTGTGTAGATATGAAGAGATTTCATTTATATATACTTTCATAGTTTTCATTTATTTATATTTACATACATACGAAAGAAGGAAAAATGCAGATGTGACAGTCTAGGTAAAGGATATTCAGGTGTTTATCACATGATCCTTTCAGCTTTCCCATAGATTCAAATTTCTTCCAAAATAAAAAGCATTTAAAATAAGGAAGGAAGGAAAAGATCTCTGTTCTGAGGAACAAAATCTGGGATACGTTGATGTGGGTATTTCAAGTACATGTATTATTTTAGAACTAGGACACAGTCCAGGGGTGCCCAGCCGGCTCAGAAGAGCACACGGCTCTTGATCTCAGGGTGGTGAGTTCGAGCCCCATGTTGGGGTAGGGACTATTTAAATAAATAAACTTAAAAGAAGAAGAAGACCTAGAAACAGTCCAAATTGAAATATTGGAACCATTCGTATAATTCTATATCTCTAGATTCATGCAAACTTGAGATTCTTGGAAGGAGGGAGGGGGAAAATTAGTTTCCAAAGTCACCATAACCTTGGCTGGCAGAGTATTTCCAGATCCATTTACCCACCCGCACCTTCCATGAGCATCGAGATGCTTCTTGGCACACAGATGAGACCGCCCTCCTGCTGTCCATGTCAGCTCCTGCGGAGGCCATTGCCGGTTTGGGTTCCGATCCATGAATTCAATTCGATCCTTTGCTGCCTAAGCCACATCCAACGGGACCCCATTCCTGTCACACGTATGGCTCTTCCTTGTGACGGTGTCTCTGATCCTGGTTGGTTTTTGTCCGGGGCTCGTGCTAGGTGTTTTGAGTAAGAAATAGAGAGGTGAAGGTCGGTACGGTTACCGATCAGTCCCAGCGTCTATCCAGCCACCAGACAGCTTCCATTTCTGCGTTTCAGCAATTCCAGTTTTCATCGGCAGGCACGTCTGTCCTCGTGCTATCGTTTGCTTTCTTTTTATGTTTATTGAAGTACGTTCATTACAGTGTGCCTCTCAGCGGCAAGCAAAATAGAATTGCGCTCTGAAGTGACCCAGAGCCCCAGGGGACGAGAATGGGTAGGAGCGCAGGCAGGGTCCAGAAGCCGGCTCCGTCATCGGCCCAGGGGACATCCTGCGGCCGCTCGCCCCCGAGGATGGGGAGCTAAGGGACGCGGGGTGAAGGGGTACCGGACCACTGCTGTCCGACAGCGATGCATCCATAATGGGAAGCGGCATCGCGGGTTCTCACAGCTTGTCTCTTTCTTCAGGATCTTCTAGGAAAGGACATTTTGGAATTCTGCCACTCCGAGGATCAGAGCCACCTGCGTGAGAGCTTTCAGCAGGTACCGCCAACGCCCATCGACGGCTGACGTAGAACCGGGGCCCCGGGCAGCGGGCCGGCAGGGTGTGCCAGGCAGGCTGCATAGGGCCACCCGAGGCGTCAGGCAGGGACCCCGCGGCGAGGGGCTCCCAGTCGCGTGGGGAGGGCAGACCCATCAGGAAGCCGCGCCTGTGTCTGGACGAAGGGCAGGCGATGGAGACGTTAATGGTGCGGGGACGAGGCGGGAAGTCTCCCAGGGGAGGGGACCGTTGGGCTGGGATGCGCCTGCCCCCAAGACAGAACATTCCAGACTGATGGCCGGCACCCGGAGATGCAGAATGACGTGGCGTATTAGGGAGTTACGCGTAGCCCCTTGGGCTGGAGTGACACTTACTGCCGGGCAGGGAGGAGGGAGCCCACGGTAGAGACTGCTGAGGCCACACGGAGGAGTTGAAGTTCTCCCCGCGTCGTTTACGGGAGGGCTCCTCTGAGGACCGCAAGCAGAGCAGTGTTTTTGAAAGTTTTGGTAGCGCGGACACGTGGAGAGCAAGTGTGGGAAACCCTTGGAACAAGGGGCACAGCGTGGCTGTGGAGGAGGTGGGGGGTGGGGTGCGGAGGGGCGGCCTTAGGGGACCGGTGTGGGCCTGGTGGCGCTCTGGGCGGAGACAGCAAAGGGGAGCCTGGAAGGGAGGCCGCCCGCCGCTGCATCACTAAGCGTCTCCCCCGTCACCCCCGTGAGCTGCCCGGTGCTGAGTACCTGTTGTGTCGTGCTCGGCTGCGGACACCTGTGTGCACACTGCGCGCTTGTCCTGGGCAGGGGGCATCGTCACCATCATGTCACGGGAGAGAGAGGGGAGGGCCTAAGACCCTCCTGGCAGATGACAGGTGCGGGGAGAACCAGGGGTCTGAGGGCCTGTCCCCTCCTGGCAGACGACAGGTTCCTCCTCCGAGGCCTCGGGAGCTCGTCGAAGCCCCAGGAAAGAGAGGACCAGACAGTGTTGCAGGACGAGGGCCTTTGAGGTCCGTTCTAGGAGGGGATGATAGTCTCTCGTTCATCTGACGGAACAGGCCCTTGACCTTGAGCTTACAGTGTTTTGGATGACCCCTTGACGGCCTGTTCCCCGGACACCCACTGCTCCGTTCCCGCACCACATCGGGGTGGCTCTCTGAGCCCCCCCGCTCCGCCTCTCCAAGCCCTGCGCCCTCAGGCTCGGTCCTTGCCTGCCTTCTCTCCCGTTCTCCCTGTAGCGTCTCCCTCGGCGACTTTACCCGGGGGGCACAGCATAGACCGTCTCTGGCCCCCCAGTGCCCCCCACTTGCACAGGCCCGGAGCCGAGCTACAGTCAGCCCTCCTGCTCTGGTCTCGCTGCCCACGTGCGGCCCTCACGTCCGCTACCCCCTGAAGCCGTGTGCAGCCGGCCTCTTCTCCCTCTGCTCCTTCTGCCGACCCCGGCCGGGCCACCTGCTCTCACTCCCAGCAGTGTGGCAGGGTCCTTGCCAGGCTCCCTGCTTAACTCTTGCCCACTCCCCGCCAGTCGGGAGACATGAGTTTGGCTTGGCCACGTCTTAGCTTGAACGTGCCAGTGGCTTCCCAGAGCCCCTGGAATCCGATCCAAACTCCGTACCTCGGCTGCAAGCCCAGGATGACCCCACGTGTCTTAGCCGCACTCGTTCACGGCACCTGGTCTCATGGGTCTTCTGGTGCCTTGAACACATCATGCTGTTTCCCACCTCAGGGCCTTTGCACATGTTCTCTCCGGACTAGAATGCAGTCCCGTCACTCTTCCCAGGACCGACATCTTCTTGATTAGGTTTTAATTCCTGTCACCTCAGAGATGCTGTCCACAGCCACGCCAGTCAAGAAGGCCCCCCACCCTCCTTCTCAGCCTCTTGTTTTTCCTGCACAACGACTGTTGCAGTTTGTGATTGTTTTGTTTGTCCGCTGAGTTCCCCCTCCTCCACTGAGACATCAGCTCCCTGTGGGCAGGTGGCATGTCTGTGCTTCCACCATCATGCTGACCACCGAGTGAGGAGCTTGCTCGTGGGTGAGCGGCTCTTAATCAAGTGGTCTAAATGGACGGTGACTTCCATTCTGGAAGGACGTGAGCTGAGCATGGTTGAGCATGGCCAGAGTGTATCTTTCATGCCTCACCTTTGCCAAATACGTGGAGATTATTCTAGATGTTGGCCTGGGTCAGCTTCCCTTTTCTGGATCTGTAGAAATGAAGCTGTAGCAGCAGTGGGCCTCCCTACACGGTTAGTGACCAGCCAGACCCCTGGTCCCACACGGCCTCAGGTAATCCTCAGCCCACACCGTCCGTCGTCCGCCCCACTCTTCACGGTGGACGCCGGGACGCAGAGAGTTCCGGTCGCCTGCCCCGAGTTCCCCAGCAGGACGGTAACAGAGTGAGGGCTGGAGGTGCCCCCTTCCAGCACATTCCCCTGTCACCACTCACACAGTCCTCTCCGTCGGACAGCACGCCAAGGCTTTACCCTGCTGACGCCGTTGGAAGCTGGGTGGTTTGGGACAGAAACAGGAGGAATGTAAGCCCAGACCCTGAGTGGCACCAGCTCATGGACCTCTCGCCCTGGGTGCGGCCACCTCACGGCAGGCGGGAGATGAAACCAGAGCTGCTCCTGAGAGCCCGTGGCCCCACGGTCACAGAACTCAGCGGGCCGGGGCCATGCGGCCACGGGGACATCCTGGAGCGCCGGCCTTGGCCCCTCACATGTGTTCTTTGGGCCCCAGCCACTGGGGGACGAATGTTGATAAAGGGAAGTGGTTTATTTTTGCAGAAGCGCGGAGGGGGCTGTGTCAGCTCAGAGTCAGCCTTGGAACTCTCTGGATTTAAACCAAAGCATCTGAGGGGCCCGGACATGAGACCCTTAGAGTGCCATCAGGTTCCTGAGGAATTTGGGTTTGGTGGGGTGGCCTGTGCCCGTGCAGGGGCCAGGAAACCCGAGTCTGCTCTTGGCTCCGCTCTTGGACCCTCGCCGGCTTACTGTTTACCCGGCAGCCAGGGAAGAGTGGGACCCAGCGAGACCCAGGCCCGGAGCAGGGTCCCACTGCCCCCTCTGCTCTCCTCTTGCGTGCCTTCCGCCATGGAGCCGTGTTCACGAAGCAAGGGGCAGGCCGGCCTGGGTGGTCTCCTGACACCTGAGTTGGGCAGGATGGAGGGACCCTGGTGCGGCCCTGCCCCACCCGTGCCTCTGGCCTCCACCACGGCCCAGGTTCCCACACACAGAGCACATGCTTCCTGCCAGGGAGCTTCACTCGCCAACGATGTACCCACCTACCCGCCTTCCAGGGAGTTCCTAGCCCCGCCTCCCTCAGGAGCCCTCTCTGGACCCCATGGCGTCCTGGTGGCCCCCTGCCTCTTGATTGTGTGGTTCTGGGCGGGGACTCGGCCTGCTCTCTCTTCCTCCTCGGCCGAAGGAGTTCATGGAGACAGTGGGCCGTGGGGTCAGGAGATTCAGGACCCCGTCCTGCCTCGGGCACGGCTTAGCGGGAGGCCTCGGTGGCATATTTAACTCCTTTGGGGCCCACATTCCAGATGCACACAATGTTGTCGGGAGGCCCACACGAGGTGACTTGTGTCGCACACTTAGCCGGGCCCCGGGCCCTGGGGAGGGTGCGGGGCTGCCACAGAGCCTCCCACGGGACCTTCAGAATGCCGACCTCGGGCACGTCGCCTTGACCCCTGGCCCTGTGGGGAAAGAGCAAGCTTCCTTGCTGGGACCGCACACCTGCCAACAGGCCACAGCCCAAGCCTCCTGGCCTTGCCTCACCCAGTGCGTACGTCCTCCTGGGCGTGGTCCGGCTTCTTTATCACTCAGGCTCTCCCACCAGGGAGTCCAACCGCCTCAGGTTTCATTCCGTCTGGTTCCCCAGGGGTGGTGCAGAAAGAGGGTGGGCGCCCAGGCTGCATCAGCCCAGCTCATGGGACGACGGACCCGTCGAGGAACTTCAGAAAATGTGCTCCAGGTGCCTGCTCCGTGCCAAGCTTGGGGCTGGCGGTGGGGCGGGGGGGGAGATAGGACTCAGGTGACCAAGAGGTCCCTCCCCATCCCTGTCCCCAGGCTGTCCACAGACGTCCAGCCAGAAATAAACTACAAGTGAGGGAGTTAAGGAGGAGGGACCGGGCCCTCCCTGACCCTGGGGCCAGGTCCGTGTTCTTATCTCTGATCATACTCTGGGCTCATGGTCAAGACAGCCGGCTGCCCTGGGCCCAGAGCCTTCTCTGTCCTGATCAGCCCCAGGATCTGGGGTACACAGGCCTGTGGAGAGGACAGCCCCATCTGTCTTGTTTTGTCCCGGGGGCGTATTCTCACCCAAGCCTAGGCCCACCCACCGGCCATTCTTAGCCTCTCCTGTTTCCGCTGCAGCCACGAGAGCTGCTGGCCGAGTGTGCCTTCTGCACCAGTGTGTGCACGCCCACGGCTCCGCGTCTGCCTGTGCACGGATTGTGTGTGTCCACAGGGAGCACAAGAGCAGGCAAAACACAGTTGTGGTTCGGAAGTAAGACGTTGGTTCCTTCTCAGCTTTTCCAGCAGAGCTGTCTGATCTCGGGCAGCTTGTTTCATTTCTCTCTAAGACTCGGTATTAATCCTGTATAAATGGTAAAACCCACCTTCACCAAGCCCCCGTGAGGATGTACATCGGGAAGTCGTTCGGAAACCATGCTGTGGCGTGAACGGGACAGCAGATGCTTGCACACACAGATGACGCATACGGATTTATTCTTTCCTTACACCTCCTCCCAGAGAGTGCTTGATCCAATTAACAGTGGTAAACGGGGGTTAAGGATATTTTAGCGTGAGGTGTAAAGAACAAATCCAGCGCTGGACTGTAACTAGTCACCCAGGACCCAGCAGCCCAGCCGGACAGGGAAGCACTGGGCGTATAGAGCGACATGACCCCATTTGAAAAAGCTGAGGGGCGGGGCGCCTGGGTGGCTCAGTCGTTGAGTGACTGCCTTCGGCTCAGGTCATGATCCCAGGGTCCTGGGATCGAGTCCCACATCGGGCTCCCTGCTCAACAGGGAGCCGGCTTCTCCCTCTGCCTGCCCTCCCCCTGCTTGTGCTCTCTCGCTCTCTCTCTCACAAATAAGTAAAATCTTTAAAAAAATATTCTGGGATATTTTGATTCAAAGGTGAATAACAAAGATCATAACTCTGCTCCATATTGCTTATAGTGTTCAAAACAGGAATGCTACTCATTCAAAAGTAATTTTCTAAAATTGTATAATGTTATTCACTAGAATTCAGGTAATTTTATGACATAACATTGGGAATATTCAGAATATAGGAGTTGAGAGTATAAAACTACTTCTGGGGGCGCCTGGGTGGCTCAGTCCTTAAGCGTCTGCCTTCGGCTCAGGTCATGATCCCAGGGTCCTGGGATCGAGTCCCACATCGGGCTCCCTGCTCGGCGGGAGGCCTGCTTCTCTCTCTCCCCCTCCCCCTGCTTGTGTTCCTGCTCTCGCTGTCTCTGTCTCTGTCTCTGTCAAATAAATAATAAAAAAAAAATAACAACAACCAAAAAAGAAAAAGCTGAGGGGTCCCGCCATAAAACGTTCTAGAGGGCGGACAGAGTGCGGGGCCTGCTCCGAGGAGGGAGGAGCCCCCCAGCCCAGCCGTGCTCCCTCGCCGTCTCTGCCGCGTGCCCCGCCCTGAGCCGCCCGGTGCCTCTCCCGCCTCCCGCTGACCCCCTTCCTCGTGCGACTGTCTCCTCAGGTGGTAAAGCTGAAGGGCCAGGTGCTATCAGTCATGTATCGGTTGCGCACCAAGAACCGCGAGTGGATGCTGATCCGCACCAGCAGCTTCACGTTCCAGAACCCCTACTCGGACGAGATTGAGTACGTCATCTGCACCAACACCAACGTCAAGTACGTGCTTCCCCCGCTGCCAGGTCTGGGTGCCTCTCCTGAGTCCTGGGCTGGAGCCCTTTCTCCCCGTGGGCTCCGGCTGGCGGTCCCTGCGGGGCGGGAGGAGCAGGCCCCCGGGGTGAGGGGGGCTGGGGGCCGCATCGCTGCTTCCCCGCCCCCCCGCCCTGCTCCCATCCCCCCTCCCTCCTGTAAGAACCCCCAGGCCGAGGGAATGCCCCCACCCCCTGCCTCCATGCAGGTGTCCTGCTCCCCGGGCCTCGCTGTGCCCCCAGCACGCAGAGCCCAGCAGGGGTGAGCCGGGTGCCCTGCGGCTGCCCGGCATGCTGGCGGCTAGGGCCTGATTTCTTGGCCCTTCTGAAGCAGGGCCGGGGAGTGAGACTGGGGCTGCGGCAGGTCCGGGGCCTGGGGCCGGGGCTGGGGGTGGCACTGCGGGGACACGCGGTTCCCCTGCTGCAGGCCCTGCGGTCCCAGAGTCACCACGGCTTCACCCTGTGTCCACGCGTGTTAGCACGTGGCCCTAGCTCTGGGCTTGACCCCCGCTTCCCGTGACCTTGAGTTGTGTGTTGTGTTATTTGTCGGCGCTCACTGCCCCATCTGGGCCAAGGGGTGATGACACCTGTGCTGTGGGGATTGGGCTCAGGCTCCCAGCGACAGGCATGTCACGCCTCCTCCCTGGATTTATTCTCGAGGAAATGCAAGGCCAGAGAACCAGTGGGAGCACAGGCAAAGTGATGCCCAAGCGTGTGGGGGGGCCGGTGTCGGGGGCCCCGCGGAGCCGTCCCCTGTACCCGCGCTGGTCGGTGGTACCGCCGTCCGGCATCTCCCGGGCCCAGCTCTGAGTGGGCGTCACCCCTGCCGCCTCCCCTCCTGTCTGACAGCTGCCCCGGCCATGGCACCCCAGGCAGTGAGCTGCCGGCTTGCTCGGGGCCCTGGCCCCCCGTGTCTCCCAGCTCCCCAGATTGGGGCATGCCCCCGGGGCTCCCCGCGGTCGCCTCCTTTCTGGGCAGTCCCACCCTGTGTCTCAGCCTCAGCCCTGCTCCTGGCCCACAAGGCACAGAGCTGGACCGTCCGGTCCACTCACGCGAGGCCGCTCGGGGCGGCTGACCTGGGTTTTGATGCTGGCCCCCACTGGACGAGTCACTGTGTTGCCCAGGGTTGAGTTGCCTCGTTGGTGAAGTGGGGAGAACAACCTTGTGCCTCAGGTTCTGCGCGTAAACGGTGCGTGTGAAGCAGCGTTGGGGGACGGCGGGCCCGGAGCCGGCGCTGGCGGTGGGGCCTGCGCAGCTGACAGAGACCGTGTGGGTGCGCAGCGTCCCCCCGGCCACCGTGTCCCAGTCTGCCCCTTGCAGGCTGCCCGCCACCTGCTGTGGGCTCCGGAGGAGCACCACCCGCTTGCTTCCTCAAGCTCCAGGCGGATCGTCCTGCCTCCTGTTGGTGGGACTGAGCGTCCCCGGGGCTGACCGGGCCCTCCCAGCTCATCCTCCGTTTCCCGAGGGCCACGCTCCTTGTCCAGGCCCTGCCGTGGGCCCCTCCCGAGACCCTGGCATAGTCACCGGCTTCCTGAACGGGGAAGACCCCGGTCTCCCTGGCCCTCCGGAGCTTTCTCTGGCAGCCCTCTGTCGGGGCCCGCCCGCCGTCCGTCTCCTCGTCACCCCTCACAGCCTGGCCTTGGCCCCCAACTCCGCTAACGCGCTTTCCCAGCAGCTGTAGGGACTGGGCAGCCCATCATCACTGGTCATCTCCCCAAACTGCGTGACCACCTCCTTTCCCTCTGCTTCTTCTCCCTTGGCCTGCCCAGCGCTCCGGCTCTTCTAGTTCCACCTTCCAGCCATGACGTTCCTGGTTGTAGGAAGAGCAGGAGCGCATAGGAGTCAGAGACCCAGGCGTGCAGAAAGAGCACGGCTTTATTCTCCCCCGTGTCTGAGACGGTCTCGCGGCTACGTGGTAAACTCGGTTACTCCCCCGGCTTCTGCCGGCCTGGGCAGGAGGAGGCTCCTCACTCGGGGAGCGGGGAGGCAACCGCAGTCCCAGGCCCGTCTCCCCCACCCCGGGTCTGCGAGGCTGATCATGCGTTCGCGGCCCGGGGGGGCAGCCGGACGGGCAGTGGGAGCCCCGGGGGAGGACAGCATGCCATCTTGGTTTGCTCAGCGTCGGCTCACGCTGCAGCTTGGGCCTCCTGTCCTGGTCCCCCTGCGGCCACACCGGCCGGCATCGCTGGGAGTCATGCAGACGGGCAAGCCTGTCAGGCATTCAGGGCCCTGGACGCTGTTCTAGAACCTTCTGATGCCCACATACTGGCTGGGATCAGTGAGAGCCGTCATGTCTTTGATGCAGCCCCCCTTGCCGGTCCGCCCTGCTGCCTCACGCCCCCCTCCCACACCTGACCTGCACACGGCCGGGGCCGTGCTGCCCGGCTTGCAGGGGCCGAGGACTGCCTCTCCAGGCAATGAGAGGAGTCTCGGGGTGTCGTGGGGACAGCCTGCAACCTGCTGTCAGACCCGGGGCTGGCCCGTCCCTCAATCGGTTCTGCAGCACGTCCAGGCCACCCCTGCGTGGTTCAGACCCGCTCCCGGTGGGCACCTGGCAGCGTCCTCTAGACTCGGGTCAGAGAGCGGGCTGAAGCTCCCTTCCTGGGTTTTTGGCTTTGTTCTACTTTCCACCGTTCCTCACTCACTCCCGTGTTAGTACACGCGTCACTCAAGCGAGTTGGGTGCTGTTGTCGAGACTCAATGCAGCAGGTGCCCACCGAGCGCTGCGGGAGGACACGGGCCTGTGGCAGGTTCCAGGACAGGCAGGGCGCCCGCCGCCAGGGAGGGGCCGTGTCCCCGGGGAGCACAAGGAGGCAGAGGGACGGACAGATGCATGCTGTGAGGACGCAGGAGGCAGAGAATGAACACGTCCGCCCACGGCCTCCGAGACAGCCTCCTGGCAGCTAGTGCTGGTCCGACGCCCGGAAGGACAGGAGGGACCCTCCTCCCAAGGGCGCTCACCGCAGGGGCTTTGCTTTCTTCCTCTGAGGCGGGCAGCCCCGAGCGAATGGGCGTGTCCCCGCTTGTGTCTCAGGACGGTTGCTCCCGGCAGCTCTGTGGGGTCAGAGGGGATGAGAACGGCCCCTCAGAGGCCCGCCGGCGGCACGTCCCCCGGTGGAGGTGGCGGGAGATGTGGGCTGCGGGCAGCAGAGGGCAGTGACGGCCAGGATGCGAGCCCTCCGGCCCGCTGCAGGTGCGCGGCAGACGCGCTACGGGAAGGTCCTTACGTGCTCTGCGCTGGGGCAGGAGTGGCGAGCCGAGCTGCCGTCAGTCAGGAGCGTCCAAAGAAATTTCCAGAGAAACGGAGCGTGAGTTGGTTAGCATGTGTGCAAAGCTTCGGAGAGGAAGGCCTCCGTCACCGTGCGCTTGCTCGCGTGACGTCGGCGCGGGGAAGCGGGAGGCAGCGCAGAAAGCACGCTCGGATCTTGCTGCACGACCGTTGTCTGTGCCATGTCCGGGCTCGGGGCCGGCTCGGTCCTGTGGAGACACGGCGTGGGCCGCTTTGAGCACGAGCTGTCCGCGTATCTGTGCGCAGGTGAGCTAGCGGCTGAGCGCTCCCCGTCCCGGCCCCTCCCGGGAGGGATCTGACGCTGTCCCTTGGCGTGTCCTGACGGCACTGTCCAAAGCCACCGTAGGTCTCCACGACCACGGCTGTTCTGTGCTGTGGAGCGCGTGCGCTTCGTCAGGCCTCCACCATGCCCGGCCCTGCCGGCACCCTGGCTCGGAGCCAGCCGTCCGTCCCCACGTGCTCAGTGAGAGCCCGAGGGGCTGCAGGGGCCGGGAGTCTGGGAGTGGGCCGTGAGGGCCAGGTGACCTTCCTCATCCCTGCAGAGCTTAGGGTGTGGGGCGCGGGGTGGGGGCGGTGGGCGATGCCTCCGGTCATGGAGCCCCAGCCTGGGACTTGTCCCGCGTCCTGCCGTCCCAGGCACCTGCTGCAGACCAGGGTCCCACAGCATCTGTCTGGGAGTCTGCGCCCATCTCCTCCTTCCCTGCGTCTTACCCAGTGCCCTGCTGAGACCCCGCCCTATCTCAGGGGATCCTCCATCCTCTTCCCGGCCAGCCCCCCGCCTTCCGTCCGGCCCCACCGAGCTGCCCACGTGGCCCCAGGAGCCACCCCACCCCTGCCCCCTGGAGTCAACTGCAGAGCCCTGGACGGGCATCCGGAATCCTCCCGATGGGCGTGCAGACCGCCCTCGGTCAGCGGGGGGGCATTATAAACTTCACTCTGGTCGGCCGAGCTTGGGGAGCCCCAGGTGCCTGGTTGCCGGATCCCGGTTCTCCCGGAGGCACGATCTCTGCTGCCTCCAAGTGCCCCCCTCGTGGCCGGTCACACACACGCTCAGGCTGAGTAAGACCCGTGTCCGCAGGGCGCCCGGCAGCGTTGACGGCATCCACCTGCCTCCTGCCGTCCCCAGTGCAGGGAGGCTGCGCAGACAGGAAGCCCGGGCCTGACGCATCTCGTGTCGGGTCATCCGCGCTCGTCCCCAGGGGACTGGGGGGCAGGCGGCGCTTTGCTGCATCCGGGCCCGGGCCTGCACACGGGCTGTTGGTCAGAGTTGGGAGCAGCCACGTTTCCCCCCTCAGGAATTTGCAAGCACACCGAGGTTTATTTTTATTCCATTGCTGTGAAATGTCCAAGAAAGCTCCTCAGGCCTCTTCCCAGGACGGGCGGCCTGCGAGTCAGCACTTCTCCCATGGGTGCGCAGCTGTGGGCGCGGAGACCAAAGTCTGCAGGATGGGGTCGCCGTGTCCGGACCACAGAGGGAGTGCGGTCAGGCCCCGGGGGATCTGCGGCCACGCCGGAGACCCTGTTTCCTACATTCCCCTGGAAGGAGCTTCCTCGGGCCCAGAAGGGGACAGAAGCATGCTCGCACCCGGATGCCTTTGGCCCTTACTGACACTCTCACACCCAGCAGAAGCGTGGGCCCTTCCTCCCTGCAACGCAGGCCCACACTGGGGCGCCCGGCGCACAGCCCCACGCGGGGGTCTTACCCGCTCCCTGACGGTCTGTGTTCCGGCCGGACCCAGGCTGGACCACAGGCGGGAGCGGCTGGTATTCCCTGGACAAGCAGTGCTGGGCTGAAACTTGGGCTCTGGGAAAGTTTTGGAAGGAAGAGAAGGGCATTCACTGCTCCGATCCCACAAAAACCCCAAAGCACAGGTTTGCTCTCCCGCCCGGTGGTCCACCACACTGTGTGGTCGGGTCGACTGCTCTGGAATGGGAGATGTGGGCAATGGTCCTTGTTACATCGTGGGACCGAGTGCAGGGTCTGTAGCACACAGAAGGGTCTGAATCCCGCATGCGCCATCCCGGGCACGTCTTTGGGATTCTGAGCCTCGCTTTCTGTGTCTATGAAGCGGGAAGGCTGCAGAGGTAGGATGGTGCAGGCAGGGTCCCACCCCGAGCTCTGCACTCAGGCTTCAGGGGCCCCGGGAGCAAGCGATGGTGGGGCCCTCGAGGTGTAAACAAAATACCAAAACTGTAAAGTGAGAATAGGAAATACGGAAAGTTATGGTTTTTCTACAGATCATTATATTCTTTTTAAATTTTTTGAAATTGCAATTTAAAAAATTTTTTTAGTGCTCCTGTTTCCTGGTGTTGCGGGTGCAGGTGCTGACTGCCTGGGGGCCCGTCCGTGTCTTCTGGCTCACCTTTCCCCCGGGCTCTCCCACCCAGATCGGGAGACAAGCTGTGTGTTCTCCCTGCAGCCTGGCTCTGAATGCATCACACCATGCTTCTTGCCTACTGTCCTCCCAGACACGGTCCGTGCCGTGAGGCCCCGACCGCGTGGGTCTGGATGCCTCATCCTCTCCCCTGGGGTCCAGCATAGAGCCTGGTGTAGATGTTTCAGTACACTGCCCAGGACAGACGGCCCGTCCAGGCTTAGACCTAAACACACTGGTCAGCGGTCCCCCAGCGGGGTTCTCTTCTAAGAGGTCTTCCCTGGGGGGGACGCACGCCAGGGGCCAACGTGAAGGGTGTGGCGGGGGGTGAACGGTGTCCAGACTGTCCGTCTCTCTGGCTGCTGGGGGAGGAGTTCAGGGACAGAATTCAGCTTATTTTGTGTTTCTGGGGAAGCAGGATCAGAACTCAAAACGGGAGTGGTAGGAAGGTAGATTTGGGCTGTTTGGCCGCAGACTTTCCATGATTGCATCTGTCTACTGATGGAGCGGGCTGCCTTGGGAAGCCGCGAGCTCCCCAGCAGAGGAGGGAAGCAGACGGACCACTGACCCGTGCGGTCACGGTCTCGGGTTGGGGGCTGTGGACCCGATCACCTACACTTGCTCTGCTCTGGGGAGCGGAAGTGGTCAGTTACCCAGACAGCCCGCACCAGGGCCTAGACGGCCCAGGTGCTCTGTCTACACCCCCTGCCAGCCGGGGGGCCTGTGAATGTCCGAGAGCCAACGTTAACCTTTGTGGACAGGACGGCATGTGCTCCCTTGTTCTCAGGCTTCCAGCTGTCTGGCCAGTGGAGGGACTGGCTGGGGGCAGCGGGTAAGAGTTTGAGGGCCCCCCACCCCAAGGTAGCAGGGGCTGCATCTGCCGCTGAGGCTAGGCTCCTGGCCGGCCGCCCCTCCCACCGGGTCTCGTCACTGGCTCCCACGGTGGCTAGCCCAGGGCTTCCTCCGCGCTGTGAGCAATAGCCACTGCACCAAACCCTCTGCAGAGCATCATCACTTCTCTGCAGACCCCTGGCATCTCTGGGTCTCAGTGCGCTCTGTTGTAAAGGGAGTTCAGAAATACCCCCTTGGAGGGTTTTGTGAGCCCAGCGAGAGCTGCTGTGAATGCACACCCCTAGCAGGGGCCGGGGGCTAGTACACAGAGGGTGCAGGTGTCCTTCCTGCTGGCCTTCTGCAGTCGGCAGCTCCCCCTTGGCCGGACCACATGGCCTTCTCCCGCGTGGTGCCCCCCAGGTCCTCCCGCGGCCCCGGGGTCTGCTGATCCGGGCTGCAGGTATCCAGAGGCGGAGACGCGCTCACAGGGGCCCCTCTGGGGGACGCTTCTCTGACTGGGCCGGCTCGCCCCCACACCTGCCCTACCCGCAGTGACTTCTGGGCTCCCCAGCAGACTTTAGTTCTCTGCACCTGCCCCCCTCCCGCCCCTGGTGCCTCCGGCCCCCCTCCCCTCCGAGGGCTCCTGCTGTCTCTAGGCTCAGAGCACGGGCAGGCGTGGGGGAGACAACCTGCACCTCGGAGATATTCACAAGGGACCCACCGAGATTGTCCTGGCTTCGAAACACGGCCAGTTAATGCGAACACGGAAGAGATGTTGTTCTGCGTCCCAAAGCCATGCACTGTTCATGGCCATAGTCACGGTGCGCAGAGCGTTTTGTCCTGAACTTTTCCACACGCTCTGACCACACCTTCAGTGTCTGCAGATGGTCCTCGCGGTGGCCGCTGTGGGACCGCGGGGAGTGTGCACCCAGTGAATCGATGGACATGTTCACACAGTCGTCCCCTCTTCCCGCCTACTCTGCATAGCCCGCTCTCGTCTCTGGCCGCTGAGTAAGTCCCCTGCACAGCCCAGCAGCGGGCGACTCCTGGAGGGCGTGGACGTGTCCACAGGACCTAACGGGGACCGCCGGGAAGGCTGTGTGCACACACCAAGCCACCCTGTAAACGTAGTTTTACCGACTTGGTTGTGAAGAATTGTTCTTCAAGTCTGTTCTGATTTGCACTTGCTTTGACTCTTTGAATGGTGAAAATGTTTCCCTACTTGCTGGTTACGTGAGTATCCGTATTCTGTATGTTATACGTGTGTGTATTTATGCTTGAGCGGCTTGTTCGTGTCCTCCCCACTGACTCCTGGGCATGGGGTGTGTGTATTTTGGTCAATTATTTGCTGATCGTTGTTCGCCTCTCATTCTTGTTGGTATTTAGAGTTGAGCACGATGCTGTCATCCCGCCCCATTTTTAGGCTCTGAGCTGTAGGGTTCGCTGTCCCTTGGAAGTAACTCGGTTTCCATATTCTAAAGCATAAAGCAGCCATTCCCCGTAAGGAGGCTTTTCCTGTCCCAGGAGCAGCGTGGGAGCGTGCAGAGCGCCAAGCAGGGGTCAGAGGCGTCAGGTCAGGTCCTGGCCCCGTGAGGTCGTGACCACTGGTGGGCAGGCACCTGGGCAGCCTCTCTGAACCGTTCACGGGGGCATAAAGTAACGCTGTGGGGGTCCCGAGTGAGGGCTGGATGAGGTCCCGCAGGCCCCGTCCAGCCTACTGGTCGGCACTCACTGAAGCCTTCTGGGTCCGTCTGAATTTGGCCTTAACATTTTTTTTTTTTTTTACCTGCATAAAATGACATCGTAAACCACAATTTATTTCCTAACTGTTGGCAGCCTGACGTACAGAACTTGGAGTCTTGATTTGGGACGTTAAAAAATAATCATAAAATAAAACAAACACCGAGACTGGTTTGGAGGTCCATCGGGGTCTCCCGCTGCCGCTTTCGGCTCGGGGCAGGTTCCGGTCCAGCCCTGCAGCTCCACGTCGGCTCTGGGTGACTCTGCCGGTTTCCTGTCCCTCAGGCAGCTCCAGCAGCAGCAGGCCGAGCTGGAAGTGCACCAACGGGATGGGCTGTCCTCCTACGACTTATCACAGGTGAGCTTCTGGAACAGTCTTTCCTGGTTGGCACTGGGGACTGCAGTCCACCCTTAGCTTGACCCCCCTGCCCCCAGCCCAGCCCAGCAGGTCCTAGTGCTCTGTCCAGCCCCTCAGTGCAGAGACTTCGCTCCCCTGGGGCCCCTGTGAGCCTTTTGCAGAGCTGGGCCGCGAGGGCTGCCGGACCCGGGAAGCCTGGTGGCAGGCTGTGGCCAGGACGGAGAGTGTCGGGGGGCTAACCGTAGCTTCCCGACTCTGAGCCCTAACCCTGGCACACTCGGAAGCCGATGGAGGCAGCTCCGGACCCTGTCAGCCCTCGGCTTCCCAGCCATCTGTCCTGCCTTTGGCCCGGTCCCTCTCTGCCCCCACCCCGGTCCTGCCCTGTGTCCCCGCGCTGCCTGCGCTAACTCCCTCCCTTGCCCCTTCTCCCTAGCCCCCTCCTCCTCCCTCTGCCTTTCCTGCTCTTGCTGCATCTGGGAGCTGGCCGTCTAGGGAAACCTCAAGATGTCTGTCTCTTACGTTAGACTGTATGTTCACGTCTCCTGGTTTTTAGAGTACGCTGATCATTAACTTTCTAGAAGTCGTCGGTGTGACTCCGTGGTCCTTTCTGTGACCTCCAGCTCACAGCCCCACCCCGACTGTCCTTGGCCTCCGTTGACAGAAAAGCTCCCCGCCACCCCCCACCTGTAAAACCTTCCAGTCCGAAACGTCAGTGGCATGGGAGGGAGGGCGCCGGACGAAGGCGAGGCCGGAAGCGCGTGTTCTGTGTCTCACGCATGGGATGCGGTTGTGTTTTAATGTGCAAACAGGTTCCCGTCCCCAACCTGCCGGCCGGCGTTCATGAAGCCGGGAAGTCCGTGGAAAAGGCAGACACCATCTTCTCCCAGGAAAGGGACCCCCGGTTCACCGAGATGTTTGCGGGGATCAGTGCATGTAAGTTTCCCGACGCTGCCGTGGCTTGGAGGGCGTGGGGGGCAGGGTGCTGTGGCCGGGCCATCGGGGGACAGCCCCCCCACCCCCCCGAGGGAGAGGCCCCCGCGGGGTGGGCTTTCAGCATACAAGAGCACCTGGTACAGGAGTGCCGGTGGAGCCTCGCCTCTCGCTCGCCTGCTCCCTGGGGCCCCCACGCCTTCTACATTCAAGGGTTGGGAAGGAATGGCGCGTGGATGCCCAGAATTCGCTCAGTCGCGGTCATCGGGTGGCCTGCCCACATTCGTGCTGTTGCCAGAGAAAATGGTGCGTTGTCGCATTGTCCTGTGAAGCCCGTGTGGGCAACTGCCCTTTCCAGCCAGATTACCACTAAGATTAGCAAAATACACAACCTGGAAAGGTCTGTATCATTCCAAAATTCAGCAGAAGGATTCCCTTCTCTGGTGGTCAAGGAATGTCTGCAAGGTGCAGTGTGGTTGGGATCCGTTGAGGGGAGAAGGCAGCTGACCCGCCCAAAGGCAGCGTGGAGACGCTCGTCTGCAGGACTGAGGAGCTGGGGCAGATGGAAGAGCAAATCTCAGCCCTCCTGACATCTGCCCAGGTGGTGCAGACACGGCCGTCATTCCCACTGGGCCTCGGGCCAGCCGCTAAGGAAGCGAGGAGAGTGGCATCGAGGTCTCCCACGAGGGCCGTGCCTGCCGAGCCGTGTGGCGCGGTGACCTGTTGGCCCCCAGACACCTTCGTCAGTGGCTCTGGACTTGGCAGGGAAGAGAGCAAACGGTAGCATGTCTAAAAGACTTCTCTTCCCCTCAGAGAAGCCTGAGGTATTGGACCAGACCCCGCAGCATTTCTAGGAAATCCACGTGATGTTGTAACATGACAGGGGTAGACGCCTTCCCGTAAGGATGAGCAAATAGGGGGAGAATTGACAGACAAGGAAAATGGCAGAGCGCACCCCTGTCCACCACCGAGGCTGCGCTCACACACGGGAAGCCGCAGGAGGGTGCTCCCAGACCTCCCGAGAGCGTGGCCTGCCAGGGACTGGGCTCGTTTGGGGGATGCATCAAAACACAGAACACGGGAGTGGAAGGGACGGGTTGAGAAAGCAGGAGTGTGAAGGAAGAACACGAGAATGGAGGTACAAACGGCTGGAAGATACAAAAGACACAGACAAGCCAGAACCAAATCAGTTCGGCAAAGGTCCGGATGCATCTTGGGTTAGGGGTCATAAACAGAAATTTCTCATCGGCGTGTATGGTTTTTTTCCTCTGACGTTTCTAGAGAAGCACAGTTTCCAGTGTGTTTAAAAATAACCACTCTTGAAAGGAGGGAAGAGAAAAAGAAGGAAGGAAGTCTCACTTCCAAGAAAAGACGAGGACATTTTTAGCAAATTGCAAAATACTCAGAAGAACAAGTGAAATAGTAAGAAAGTATGAATGTCATGAGTGGTAGAATCAGTTGGTGTTCAAGGGCTCCTGGGTGGTAGCTCCTGAATCACATGCTTCCAGAATATGCTGTCCCCCAAACAGCACGCTGTGAAACCGTGGAGCCTGGAGGGGTGGGTGGCCTGGTGCCTGCAGACCCCGGAAGGGACACACAGTCGCCGAGCGCTGTGAGCCAAGAGGGCTGTTTTACGCAGATAAGAGATGTGGCCTAACGTGAAGGTGTGTGTGTCATGAGCACTGGAACATGGGAAAGAATAGTTAAAAATACAGGAAAATCCTGATAAAGCCAAGTTGCTGCGGGAGATCTCAAAATGCATTTCTTCATCTCCAACAAGTCAAGTAGATCAAAGTCATAAAATGAAAAAAGATATAGAAGATTGAATAATAAAATCAAAAATCTTTATATATGTAATTTTGTGCCCTACAAATGTCTTGGAGCAGTTAGGAAAAAAAATGTGCTCCTCATTTACCCAGACTACCAAAAAACCAAAATACATGGGAAAAAAAGAGCTTGCCTTAAGCAAATAGTCACGAGAAGTCCCTCGGGCGCCTTTCTCCTGAAACTTTGAGCTGCATCTTTATCTGCAAGACCCAGGCCTGAGGACTGTGTCAGGAATGCACACTCAAGGGTCCAAGCCCCTTCCATCCTCTAGGATTTTCCACCGGGTGCCCTGTCATTGCAGCCAAGGAAATGGACCAGGAAAACTGCTCAGGGCTTCAGTGTATCAAAACGTCATAGACGTGGTTTGCACGTGTGGGAGATTCGGCACATGGCCGCTGAAGCCTGTCCCCTCGGCCCCAAGCCCCAGAGCCTGAGTGTCCATCAGTCACTGCTCATGTCCACCCAGTGGGGATCCCCCCCACAAGCCAGAGATGGGTACAGGCGAGGGGGTCTGTCTAGGCACAAAATTATTGCCACGTAACTAACTTTGACGTCCTTTATTCCGGTATCTTGCTGTGGGTGGGGTGTCAGGTTGTGGGAGCAATAGGTGTAGGAGTTTTGAGATCGTAGGGAAGTGAGGGGCTCTATAACCAACATGTCCAAGGCCACCCCCCCTACCGTAGGGCGGAGCTGGGCTCCGAGCACCAGAGCCGGTCCTCCAACCACTGCCTCGGTGCTGGAGGACAGCCCGGTGCCCTCCGGTGCGGAGAAGGCCCCGGGAGACGGAGCGCGCGGAGGCCAGGGCGGGGCAGGTGCACGTGGACAGGTGGCCGGGATGTGTGGTCCTGCTGTGGGACGCCCAGCGCCGCTCCCCGGCTGCCTGCCCCACGGTCTGGAGGACGGGACGCCCTTGAATGTGACCCGCGCTGTGCTCTTCCTAGCGGAGAAGAAGATGATGAGCTCAGCGTCTGCGGCAGGAACGCAGCAGATCTACTCCCAGGGAAGCCCGTTCCCCCCCGGACACTCGGGGAAGGCCTTCAGGTACGTGCCGGCCAGGGGGCCAGGGGGCAAAGGGGGCGGGAGGATGCCCCTCACCTGGGAAGCCCCGGGCCTCAGAGCTCGGCTCCGTGTGCGGCAAATTGTGCCAACACCAGTTGGTGGCTGCCGTCCTGCAGGCTCTGGGCTGGGCTGGGAGGCTGGTGGCCCTGGTTCTGCCCTCTGAGCCCTCGGTGCGTTGCTACTGGACATGTTGCTTGCCCGTTGGGGAAGGAGGAGCAGAGACTGGGAGGAACGGCCAGGGAGGAGACTGGCGGCCCGCGGGAGGGTACGGGGTCCTCACGTGCACCCACCAGACGCCCAGACTCACTAGAACTGTCCCAGACCCAAGCCCAGGTGGGCGGGGCTCCTCATACAGCCCAGCCGCTGGCTCAGTGGCCAGAGCCTAAGCGGAGCGTCCAGGTGCAGATGGGGACCAGGACTGGGCAGGTGGGACTGACCACCCCAGGGAGCGGGCCCGGCCAGGCCCCTGCCCTCGCTGGCTCTCACACCGGTCCACGGACAGACCTCCTGGAGAAACGGCAGGTCGCTTTAGCAGACTGATACCTTGGAGGGGCTCTGGCCAGTGCAGCTGGGTCTCACTGGACGCAGCCTGCTCTGCAGCTCCCGGCACGCGGGCCTCTGGTCTGGGACCAGTGGGGTGAGGTGGTGGCCCCCGGGGAGCGGCTGCTGGGCCGTCTTCACTGCCAGTCTCCCTGCCCTGCTGCAGGTGCTCACAGGTCCTCAGCCCGGACGAAGGGCAGCGGAGAGGGAGTGGAGGCCGGAGGTGAGGATGGGACTGTAGGGACAGTAGCAGGGCCTGGAAAGGCCTGGCCAACTGCTGAGCTGAGCCCAGAGCAAAGGTCAATTTGCCACTTGATGAGGCGATGGGGCCTCCTCCGCAACGTGCTGAACAAAGCCCGGGAGGCCGGAGAGATGGGAGAGGCTCAGAGTCAGGGCAAAACAGGAGGAGGCTGCAGAGGCCTCGAATACCACACCAGGGGGTCGGAGGGGAAGAGGGACCTGTGGAAATGGGGTCTGGGAGAAAGTTCAGGGGGCAGTGTGGAAAGGGAGGGTGCTGGTGGTTCATAGGACCCGTGGTCCAGCTCGAGACGCTGAGCCGGGGTGAGGCTGTTGTGGAAACGAAGTCAGAGGGCAGTTAAGGAGAAGGAGGGACTGGCTTGCGGCCAGCTGGCTGTGTGAGGACCCGGCCCCTGCGCAGAGCCTGCGTCGGGAAGGCGCTCGCTCACTGCTCATCTGTGGGAGGAGGGAGGGAGGGAGGCCTGGGAGGCCCCGAGCCTGTGGAATGAGCCGGGTTTCCTGTGAATCGAAAGGGCCTGCGCTGGTGTGAGTGGGAAGGGTGTGGGATGAATGTCAGTCAGAGGTCGCCCTGAGCTGCAGGGGAGTGGTGTTACTGCAGGTCCCTGACTGTGCCCTCACCCTGAGTCCGGCCGCGGTCCCGGCGGTCTTGCCCCGCCTTTGTGCATGGAGGCGGGCGTCTCTAGTCCAGGGGGCCTGGGGAGTGGGGCCCAGGGGCCAGCTCTCATCGCCAGTGCCCTGGGAGAACAGGAGGGCTGAGGGGGTGGGGAGAGGCCCCCCCGCAGAGAACGGTGATCAGTAAAGGCCTCCGAGGCCATCGGTTCATCAGGAGGGAGGAAGGGGAAGGAACGCTGCGTGCAGGGAGCTGGGAATGCTGTCCGCTTCTGGAAAGGCTCGTACAAGAAGGTACTGACATTCCTGGAGCCTCTCTATCTTACGGGGGAACCGGAAGGCACAGAAAAAATCGTGTGACACAAGCAGTAAAACTCCACCCACTCTTCTCTACCCGCCTTTCTCGAAACCTGCGCCAATGTTCTGCCATCAGCCCGACCCCGCCCGGCTCCCTCCTGGGCACGCAGCGCTCTCCTGCGCTCAGCTGCTCCCAGAACAAAGGGCCTGAAGCCAAACAGAAGTCTCCCCACCTTCCCACCTTTAATGAGCACGTGGGGTGGGACTGTGTCATCCGCAGTGTCTGCCCCGTGCCTGGGAGCACAGACAGCAGTCAGAGACGTGGGGGCCCGGCACTGGGGCACCCGGGACACACCCCGCAGGTGCCCTGTACAGACCGGAGGGAGGACATCGAAGACGCAGGGAGGGCAGGGGGCAGGTAGCCCGCAGCGTGCTCTGGGTGGCTGGACCAGGCCCCCCGCGCCGGCAGGCGTCCCCTGACAGGCTCTTTCTCCTGTCCAAAGCCAACCACCTGGCAGCCCGTGCCTGGATCCTGAATCCGAAGCCCTGTAGGCACCCCACAGGGACAAATTAACCAGAGCACAGAGGAATGGGTCCACACCGAGGCTGATTTTTATGCTGAGGGGCTTCTCCCTCGGAGTCGTCTGCTGGGAGCCAGACATGCGGTGGGGTGTGGGCGGCCTGGAGGAGAGAGCGGGGCCCTGGGAGGTGCGGGGGGCCACGAGGCAGACCACAGAGGTGACACAGAGGGAGCCCCGGGGAGAGGAGGGACACCGGGGGGCTTGCCATGCGTGGGCCTTCTTGTCCAGGCATGTGCTGGAGAGACAGATGGACGGACAGAGGTAGCAGCCGGAGCGAACGGGAAGGTGGCCCAGGGGCTGGCGTGGTGGGCGAGGCGGCTCCTCGGGACAGATGCGGTTTCATCTCTTCTAGCTCTTCAGTGGTCCACGTGCCCGGCGTGAATGACATCCAGTCGTCCTCGTCAACAGGCCAGAACATGTCCCAAATCTCCCGGCAGCTGAACCAGAGTCAGGTGGCCTGGACAGGGAGCCGGCCGCCCTTTCCCGGACAGGTATGGGCTCTGGTGAGGGAGCTGTTCCCGGGTCCAAGCGGGTCAGAGCACCCGGGACCTGCTTTCTTTGGATCCTGGCTCCGAGACAGGTTAGCGCTCTGAGCACCAACGCCCCCCCACCCCACCCCAGAGGGACCCAGACCATGGAGCCCCGTCTTTTCAGCAGCCTGGCCCCGCACAGCGGTGGCCTGGGAAGCCGGGGGAAGGGGCAGATCCACAGACACTCCGTGAGGATTCCTGTGGACCTCTGTCTGCCCCAGCCGGGAGTGCGTGAGGACCCCCAGCCCCGGGACATGCGCAGCTCCCTGCTAGTCACTGTGACGTGGGTGTCCGGTGGCCCAGGGGTCTTCTCCGTGTTTGTAGTGCCCAGGGCCCCATAAGCAGAAGCCGCAGGACCCAGACCATCACCCAGACCTGCCCCAGAGACGCAGGGCCCACACGTGCTGGCCTGATGCCAGGCTTGCGCCCAGCGGGGCAGGAGGGCCGTGGGGAGTCGCCGTCAGCCACTGGGGCCGGGGGCCGGGGGCAGGGGCCTGCTGCTGACGCTTCCCTTCTCTTCACTGTGTCCGAATTGTAGCCAATCCCCTCCCAGTCCAGCAAGACTCAGTCATCTCCCTTTGGGATTGGAACGAGCCACACCTACCCAGCAGACCCCTCTTCCTACAGCCCCCTCTCCAGCCCAGCTACCTCGTCGCCCAGCGGGAATGCCTACTCCAGTCTCGCCAACAGGACTCCAGGGTTCGGTAGGTGGGGACCGAGGGAAAGAATGCCCGGGAAGCCAGCAGAAACGCTTCCTGAGCATGCTGAGTTGGAGGGCCTGAGCCCCGAGCTCCCAGAGCCCTGGGAGAAAGCCTAGAGGTTGCCCAGTGCCTCCAGGGCTGAGAGCCGGCTGCGCGCGTCTCGGCTTTGTGGGGTGACGTGTCATTTTCAAGGCCCTAGATGATGTTCCTCAGAATGCAGTTTTAACCCTTTATGGCCCTTGGCAAGGACGTTCAGCTGCCCCACGTCTGAAACGCTATAATCTTGCTTCAAACGACCGGGTGGCCAATTATAGAAATACATCATGTAAATAGGAGACACTGTCAAGTTCTTTCTTCCTAATATTCCAGGAGGGACCCCATCCCGTGTCAGAGCACCTGTCCCAGCTTTGTTAACAAAACCTCAGGCCATAAAGGGTTAAGTGGCCACCCCTTCTGGTGCCCGTCCCAGGGGCCTTTGCTGGCTCCTTCTGTGTGGATTTAATGGGCCGGGGCTCCCCCTCCCAGAAGGAGGGTTTGCTGAGGGGCCGTGGCCCTTCCAGCGTCCTGAGCCCATGTTCTCAGAGCGGGACCCCCTCGTGTGGCTCATGGGGCGTCTCTCTGCAGGACGGATGCTACTGCCCACAGCCTCCCCCCGCCCCCCCCAGCCTGGGGACACAGCACTTCCTGACCTCTCACCGGCCATTCCCCATGGATACAGCGAAGCTCCCGTTCACTCCTAGCAGGTTCTCCTGTTTGGCCTTAAACTCTCTCTGTTTTACTGTCCCCGAGCGGGCGCTCAGCCGCGTGCTGCCCTGTTTCCCGAGGGACGGGCCCCCGGCCTCTTGCTTTCCAGCCTGCCAGGCACCCAACTCAGAAACCACCGGAAGCTGGAAGCCACTGGCTCCCAGGGGAGCCCTCGCCCCCTGCAGTCTCTGCCTTGGCTTCCTCAGCCCGTGGGGGAGAGGTCCCCCCGCCTCACCCTGAAGGCGGGCCTTTGCAGACGGGAAGCCTGCAGGTATAGGCCCGGGCTCACAGAGGGGAGGAGACGGGGTCCCGGCCCAGAGGAGGTCACGGTGCAGCTGAGGCCAGAGAGACGCAGGGACACCGGGAAAGGGCAGGGGAGAGGCTCGGACACAGGGAGAGGTCAGGGGAGAGGCTCGGACACAGGGAGAGGGCAGGGGAGGCGCTCGGACACGGGGAGAGGGCAGGGGAGGCGCTCGGACACGGGGAGAGGGCAGGGGAGGCGATCGGACACGGGGAGACGGCAGGGCAGGCGCTGG